TACTTGAGATGTGTTTGTTTTACACAGCAGGCTGCCTTTGGGGATGTTGCACAGCTCAGAGACCTTGGTCTCAGCCATGCCAGGGCATTAAACAGCACGTAGAGGTGTCCCTGAGCACAGGACAGAGTTGTCCATATTGTGGAATCCTTAAAATGGTTTGATGGCATCAGTATGAATAGGACCCTGTAGCTCTCTCCCATATCTTTCCTGGCTGTGTTTTACCATGGGCCAGGAACTTGTTTTGCCACGTTGCCATGGTTCAGGGATCATTCCCAGCAGACCACTTGCCAGGATGTTTTGGAAGGCGAGAGGTTTTACTGGTACAGGTGCAGACTGTTTCCCAGCATTGGCCTGGCTCCCGGGCAGTTCCCTTGGGACTGTTTGTTTGTGGCTGCAGCTGTCAGTGCTGTGGCTGTGCTAACGTGGTGCTGTGCCACAGCTGATCAGTGTGCCCAAGGAACCCAAGCACTGTGTGATGCTGGAGGAGCTGCATTGCTTGTGTGAGCCAGAGCTGTGAAACAGCCGTGTTCTTACCCAAAGAAACAGGCTTACAGTGTTTTTAGATGTCACATCCAGCAACTGCAAGTTGCACTAGCAGCTTCTTGCTGGTATTCAGTGGAATGCTTCCCTCTCTTGGATATTTTGAGGTTCTGTGTCACTAATCAGCCGTGAGAAGTGCACACAGATCTCAGAGGATTGCTCAATATCTTTTGTGCTCCTGATGCTCTTACATGTCTAATAATGCACAAGTCTGATCCTTTAATGGTAGTAATGGGAACTGAGGTCCCACCTTTATCACAAACTTCTACATTCCTATTTTACTGTCTCTTGATACCTTCACAGCTCCTCTTTGCTGGTGGGCTGAGCATTGAGCACAAAATCTTTGCAGATTGATGTGTGTTTTGACTGAGCTATAACCTTCTTTTTCAGTACCTCACACTGTTTCAATATCCTGTTTGATAATTTTTCTTCTCATTATGTGCCTATAAAGGGAACAGTCCTCTATTTGTTCACTTTCTGTCATGGATGTTTTTTTCCTTTTATCTATAATCTAACATCTATCAGAAGAAATAGCTTGCTGCAAGACTACGTAATAGACCTGGAACCTCTGAGCCCCACTGGGGTCCCAAGTGTCACCATTAAAGCACATGAGTGCTTTACTCTTGAGTTACCCCATTGGGAAAATCCTCTTCCAAGGGAAATTATAGAAGCCAATACTCAGGATGTTTAAAATAGGAATGAAAAGAACAGAAAGGAATAGAGTTACTTGATGTGCACAGAGCCTGTATGCCCCAGGAGATGTTTATTTCAGTACTTGATTTTTCTAATGCATGATTTTGTCAAAGGGAATGTTGTGTGTGCTGGTCTAAAAAGCTTAAAAGACTTACACTAACTTCAGAATTTAGTGTCCTAAATAGATGACTGTAAAGAAAAAAAAAATTAATTTATAAGCCACTTCCCAATGCATGCCATGAATCTGATAGGTTTCTTCTAATATTTTGAGAACAATGATGATTTTTCTAGCCCTGATTTTTTTTTGTTCTCAAGGACTAGAATCAAGGCAAAGAAAGAAGCTGGGGGCAGAGCAAAAGGTGATTCAGGTTGTCCCTGAGAGCACGCAGAGAGACTCATATGCATCCCATTTGGTTTTAGACACCCAGTCTAGAGTTCTACATTAGAAATGTGGTTTTTCTACATTAGAAATGTGGTTTCTGTAGGCTTCTTGTCTAAGCAACAGCTAGGGAGAGATACTTCAGACCTCTCTTTTCATTGACAATAGAGGATGCCAGGGAGGGTACAGCCCTCATTTCGGTATCTGAGGTTGACATAAGCCTTTGAGTCTAATTACCCTTTTTTAAATTTGTGGATGTCAGTTGTGCAACAAACATGAATTAAGTATTAGCTTGAACCATATTAGAACTACAAAAAGCTCCTGCAATACAATTCTAAAAGTTATTAAAACATGTCTCTGCAATTTGTCTCCAAGCACACTGTTGTCTCCTCCTTTCTCACCCCCCCATCTTTTTATTTTTCCTCTTGTTTCATTTTTCAAGCCCTTCATGTACATAGACTGCTACTCCCTACGTTCAGGACTCATTAGTTCTCCATGTCCTATAATGTGCCTGCAGCACTTTGGGATAATAAAGTAACAGTGTGAAGTAATAGAATGCTGTTCCAACTTGCAGTAAGCAAAAGGCAAAATGTTGTCTCGCTTCCATCCGAAACACAAGCAGTGCAGATTCATTTTGAATTAGCTGCCAACTGCTGAACACAGATACATTGAAGGACAGCCCCAGGCTGTGTTCAAACAGAAGTGCAGACTAAATGAATTCTTGCTTGGGCTGCTTGGAGGCAGCTGGATGTAGATTGCTTGCCTCTAGGCTTATGAAGAATGACATGTTACACAGTTTTCACACCCTTTCAAATATACATGGTGCCAAGTGACACTGATGTGACTTGCTGCTGAAAATACATGTGGTTTTATGGCTTGCATAGCACCTTAGCCAGCCCCTGGCATCACTTCCCCTTGGTCCCTGCCCAGAGCCAGACCAGCCGTGTGTACATTGCCCAGCAGTAGCAACAAGGAGGTCTCCTTCTCTGCTCATGTTAATGTCCAGGCTTTAGATAGATAAATCAGAATTTATCAGTCAATAGAATTGCCCTGGTAAATTTTAGGGCTTGATGTGCTTCAGTGGCCTCAGATCTAGGGGGAGGTTAGCAAAGCTCAGGGACAGGGATGTGCTGCTGATATTGGGCACAAAGAACACAGAATTCACAGACCACAAGGACATTTGGCAGAACTCACAAAGATAAGGATGAAACAAATGAAGCCAACTAATTTCAGCAACTGTGCTGAAGTCAGCTCTAGCTAGGTAAAAAACAATTTCACGGGGGGAGATGCTGAGCATTGACTCCCAGCCCACTTACTCAGGAAACCCACGGGCTCAATAGACAGGCTGATCTTTGGCATGGGAAGTGAATCATGTAGCCAGCCAAAGGTAGAACACTGATCAGTAACAGAGCTGAGTGACTGGTGGCCAATGAACCCTGACTTCTTTGCTTGCTAAAATACGAGTGGTGTGGAGCTTTGATGGCTGGGGACTCAGCCTGTTGTGGGCCACACCAGCTCCCTGCTTTGCACAAACCAGACAAAAGAGATGGGAATACCTCATCTTGGTGTGTAAATTGGTGCTGCACAATTTACAGTGGGGCAGTGAGCCCACATTTGGGACAGCAATTACTGCCCCTGCCCTTCCCAGCTGCAAAGGGGTCCTGGGGGTGATTGGTTGATGGGTTGTACTTGGTTCATGGAGAAGGTGCTGTGGAGCAGCTCTGTGTGGGGTGCCTGAGGGTGGCTGCTGATAACCTAAACCTGTGGTCTCTGCCAGTGGGACAAAGATGTTTCCTTGCTCCTTGGCCTTATCAAAGTGGCTGGGGGTACAGGATTAGCAAAGAGTGAGAGAGAGCTGCAAGTCCCCTCCAGCAACTCTTTCCCCAGCATTGCCCAGATCTTTCCAAAAACTATGAAAACCTCATAGCACTTGATGGTATTGGTGAATCTTTTCCATGAGTTTTGTGAAAAGTTCAGGTTGTGTCATCTTTCACTAGTCCAGCAGGATTGGCAAGAGTTGGGGGTCGTTCCTCATCATCTTCTCACCTAACCAGTATAAGAAGATGGCATCTGATCTGCAGAGTACTGAGTGCAGAGCTCTGAAATGTGGGGTGACTGTAATTGCTTTTTTCTTCTGCAGAGATCTGTCTACATTAAAATCAAAAGCAGATACTATAGATATGTGGGACTGATGTCCTTTATTCCCTTGTTTGCCTGAGAGCCTAGAGTATGAGAGTATCCTGAGAATAGGCTTAGGTGGTATCTACTTCCACACGCATCTCTTGGGAGTCAAGGCTCATTTCTTTAATTTAAAGAAATGTTGCAAATTTGCTGCAACTATTACATAAAACAAGCATTTAGGTTTGAATCCAAGAGCTGTGTCAGGGCTCCCTGAGCACTTTGCCTGTTCAGGGCACTGCAGGGCACACGTGCTGTATGGTTATGGTGGCTCTGGTGCATGGGGTCTGTTTTGGGGACCCAGGAAGTGAGGGTAGAGCCTGTGTAGCTGTGAACTCCAAACCCAAACACTCAAGGGTTGTAGGTAGGGACTCAGCAGTGGAAATTTTTTTTTTCCTTAAATATTAAGTGATGGCATGTTTATTTTACCTTATTATTTCTGAATCTTCAGGACATAAATGGGCCATGTTTTAATCGGCTCAGAATGAGGTTTTCAGGAGTTTGGGGTTACATGCAGCTGAGAAATTAATTGCACTGCTGCTCAAAACTTCTCTTTCTCACAGATAATCCAATATGCCCTGAACTAGAACCAATGGCTGTATAGTTTTATTGTGATGTCTTCAAGAGGAAAATGGTCTACTAAAGCAAAAAGCTTTGTCACCTAAATGTTTATATTTTGGCATTCTTTTTTTATTTTCTAACAGTTGTGACTGTAGAACTATAAAAATTCTGCTCATCAAGTAGAGTTCTCTTAAAAAGAACTCCAAAAACATAATCTGCAAAGCAGCATTTAGAGGACATAAAGTGAGGAAGGAGAGGAGCTGAGTCAAAGTCTAGTAGACTTCTACTCCTCACCTGTGTCTGAAGCAGACTATTTCTTCCTTATGGAGAGCCTTCTGAGCTTTTATTTTCACACCTAGAATTAGGTAACATGAATAACCCCAAGATAAAATCATAGTTACTCATTCTACTTACATATTTACTTATTCTACTTAGATATTTTCAAAATTCAAATGTGATGCCAGTTTTTCTGAAGCAGTGTTCAGAACCTCTTCCAGTTCAAAAACTGTTCCAGATATATTCTCTTAGCACAAAAATAGTGCTAAATGGGCGTTAAACTTTTTCAATAAGCACTGTGTGTTAGCTTTGGTAATTTTTTCCGTATCTCTTTCAGATTTAATACATTCTAATTAAAATCTTTGTCTTGCAGGTCTGAGTACAGCCGTATGTCCTCTACCAGCAGTGAGTATAACTTTGAGATTCTTTTTTAAAGTGAATTGTTATATTTTTTTTTGTTCTGCTTGCTAATATTTATTAACATCAACCTGGTGTAATTGACAGAGTCACTTTGATGCAGTAAAGCCTCCATTCCTTCTTTTCTTGGATCTCTGTCTAGAAACAGTATAGAAAATTAAATTGTTTGAGTATTTATGACCAAATACAAACCATGTGTAAAGACCTAAATTAAAAAAGGATGCAAGGCAAAATCAGAACAAAAAGGATGCAAGGCAAAATGAGAACAAAATCTATAGGCACTCTGTGGGCCAGTGTGAATGGGCCCTCAGGCCAAAGGAGTTTGCAGTGATGAATGTCATTGGAGCTGGGAATGCAGGAATAATTGAATGTTTATTGTAAGCTGATGCCAACAAAGCACTTCAGAGCAATTCCAGTGAAGTTGGTTTTTTTTATTTCGGAGATGGTAGATGCTCTTGTAAGTGCCACAATCTTTCTAGATACTTACAATGCCAGTTGATTTTCAGGTTATCCAACTAATAAAAGACAAATTCCTGTGTCTGAATATTTTTGCTTTATTTTTCACCAATGCAAAATGATTATTTTTTGAGCAACAAGGCACACTTTTTCACTCCATCTACTTCCTCAGTTGTAGAACACACTGCATCCACAGCACTTGGAAATGCAATAATGCTTATTCATGCATGACTGCTGGTATCTCTCCTTGTCCAAGTGCAAAGTGATGTCTGTCTTCCTGATTCACACATTGACATGAGCTTTATTTATGCCAAGCAAGCACATCAAAAATTCCAAGATGACAAGTTGTGTTTTATAATCTGGATCTTTAAGCACCATGAAAATCAGAGGGGAAGAAAGCTGTCAGTTTTTTTCTCATTCACACATTCTGGCTGAAGTGTGGAGAGGGTTATTTTCCATCTCCCGTGGTCTTCACTGAAGGGCTTTAATTGATTTCAACAAGAGCTGGATGAGACAGCATTCGTAATGTCTGACTCCTGAGCTGATGTGACTAGCAAGGAACTCGCTGTGCTTCCTCCATCTGCTCAGTGTGTGTCTGAGAAAGAGAGAATTTAGTGCAGCTTTTTCCTAAATTCTGTTGTTGAAATAGATTTCTGGATTCTCACCGTCGGACATAGTTTTTGAAATCATTGGGAGGCAAAATCCAGGCAATCAGCTTCTCTGTGATAGTGAAAGCAAATTGGATTTTCCTGATTACACCAGATGTGTGGCACGCCACCCTCTCAGCTCACAGTTTCAGATGATAGCTTGGGGAATATGCTGCCAACTTCCTCCACTTTTTGGGTGGTTATCCATACTTACTTGTTCAATGGGGGCAGATTAGTTCAAAAGGCAAGGTGCTAGTAGATTATTTCTCATTTTAAAATTTGGTTTGAATCCCTTAAAAACTCTGCATGGCTGCTGCACATTTTACAAGTAAAGGTAGCAAATTACATGTGTAAGCCTTGGTTTTTATTAAATGAGGTATTTCTCAGGGGGGTGAATCTGCTGTTACGTGGCAGCTACAGTGTGTCCTGTTGTCTGTGGTCTGCTCAGTGTCTTGCTGGCCACTGCTGTGCTGTGGATGTGGCCATTGCAGTTGTGTTTCAACACCAGTAATTTGCCAGTACAAGGAGGCATTATCATTCCAGCAAAGACACAAGTTCAGGAGACAGAAAAGTCTCCTTCTTTCTCTTTTCTGCTTCCAAGGCAAATTATAGTGATACAGCTTCACAAGTAGCAGTATTTAGCTTTGCCCTTTGAGGGCTTTGTGTGGTTGGTCCGGTCAGACACTGCAACAGGAACAGAAGCAGTTACACAAAATAATTTTTAGTAAAATAGAAATACTTTCAATACAGCCGTTTTCAGAGGCTGGTAGTGGGTATGTAATGCATTTTAAAGAAAGGTTGTTGGAGAAGAGAGATTGGAAATAAGAGGTGATTTGGACCTTTTAATTTCTTTGGGGAAAAGATTCAAGAAGTGGTATCATTCACAGTACAGAAAGCAGTGTAGTCAATGACCCTGTTAGGCCCTAGTGTAGCACAAAGTAAGATGTTATAAATTATGAAGGAGAGAATCTCCATTGCCTGCAGCTGCTTCACCTGAAGCTCCTGTTCTAATGGAGTTTATCTAAACCAGAAGGATTACAGGCTAATTTGGTTTTACAGGGGTCCTATTGGGTAGTGCCAGTGAGGCTCCAATTTCAATGTTTAACAAATGAATAATCTTTTATCTTTCTGGATTAACTCCACTGGACAATGGTTTTCCACAGGCATGCCAAGAAAAGGTTAAGAAAGATTTAGCAGGTGGATCACCTACAGCTTCTATCAGAGCAGCTGAGCAAACTGCAGGACTTTGCACCAATGCAAAGTTGTACAGGAATTCCAGACCCCCCAGGTCAGAAGTAAAACCTCATTGGCTGCTAAATGGCAATGGCAGGATCATTCTGTGTTTATTTCTAGTACTTTTTTTTTCCCTGAGCACAAGGCAGCAGCTATTGTGTCAGTGTACTGATTCAGCAGTTCAAAGCCCTGCCTGGTGCATTGGTTGGACCTTGGGTTTTAGGCAGCCTCTCACTTCTTTTCTTCTTTGCCCTTGTGTCCCAGCTTCAGAGAACCAAAAAATGCTTTTTACTGACAGCATTCATCTAATGTTTGTGGTGTTGTACAGCAGGTAATTTGGGGAAGAGTACCAAAGTTTGCAGAGCGTGTGTATTTCAGCAAGAAAAGGCAGCAGGTGCCTGCTGCAGAGCTCCGGCTGTTGTCAGGGTGACTGTGTGCCACTTTGCCTTGTCTTATTGAGTTGAAAGAAAAGGTCACAAAACCTGTCTGCAGAATGATGCATCTGGAGGTATTACAGCTTTCAAAGGTTCAGCAGTATGATTTCAATAAAGAGGAATGCCTTTTCTTTTTTCTTTTTACCTGAATGCTGGTGCAGGTAGTTACTTTTTCCTTTGTTCTTTAGGAAGAGTGCTTTGTCTTGTTGGGGTATTTTGCCTATTGATGTGCTCTTCATTAATCTAGGAAATGTATTAACCTTCATTTTCCTCATATTTTCAATTACCTTTTCAATTATGGTGTTCAATTTCCATTAGGGATCCCTAATTCTATATGAGAGAGAATTGTGCTAGGCACTTTATATCCACAGAAGGGACCTTTACCTGAGGTGCATAATGCCAAAATATAAAGACCATGAGTGGCATATGGATACAGTCAGTCAGAATCAGAAAGAAGTAATTAATTAGTGTTGGTCGGCACAATAAACAACAGTCTCCATACATCATAATTTTAATTATCTTCAGATTGCTTTGAGCTATGTGTTTCAGAGATGATTTTCAACTAGGGAGGAGGAGTTTTGATGGGGGATGCTTATTGCCTATTCTGCTTAATTTTTGCATTACTGAAAATGGCTCTTCAGAAGGACCCAAACCAGAAATGGATTATTTGAAGCATGACTTTTGTCATTGGTAACATTCACAAAGGATGAGAGGAAATGGCCTCAAATTGCACCAGAGACAGTTTATATTAGATATTAAGAAAAATTTCTTCACTGAAAATGTTGTCAGGCATTGGAACAGGCTGCCTAGGAAAGTAGTGGGGTCACCATCCTGGAACTGTGTGGCTGTGACACTTGAGGATGTGGTTTAGTGGTGAACAGGGTAGTGCTGGGTTAATGACTGGATTAAGTTATCTTAGAGGTATTTTCCAAACTTAATTATTCCATGATTTGAAGTATTCCACACCTAGTCAGCCTTAGAGCCAAGATAACTAGTTATCTTAGAAACAATTGTGGAAGTGAATGATTTTGTTTTTCCTTAACCATTTTTAGCCTGGCAGTCAGGTAACTGCCTGGATACACTCTTGTACTGGTCCAGCTAAGTTGGTAAATGAAATATAAAAATGGCCCTATGGGATGAGATGCAAGTTTCTGAAAGAGTTTAGAGCATTTGAAATTGTAGAACCCAGTGGCATGCAGTAGTTCAGGCTGTGCTTCTCAGTGAGGTAAAGAGCTTGTCACTCACCTGCTTTGCAGTTGGAAAGCTGGTAATTCACCTTCTCCTGCTCCCCTGCCTTTTCTTTAGCAGCTAGGAAACAATCAAGTCCTTGTAGGGTGTTCATATTCCTTTGTGGTAAATCTGAGAGCTGGGGTATTAAAATTTTTATTTCCATGTTGCACATACCCATGTTCCTAGCCCATGGAATTTCACCCAGTTTCTGGTTCTAGAAATTGAACACAAGAAGGTTTGTTTTGGCAGATATAAAATATGTGGGTTACTGCACATGTTTCTTTTTAATAAATTCTCTGTTTGATATTTTGTTCCTTCGCTGGTATAAATTCAGATCATTGTTCGGGGATTTGGTCAAGGTTCGGTCAATATTTTGTCAGTGTTATCTGCTCCCTGGGCTTGTGACCCTGTAGGAAGCCCTCACTAGAGAAGGCTCCTGCCAGAACCTGCAGAGCCTTGAAGAGAGGAGCCCGTGCTGGAGCAGGTTTGCTGGCAGGGCTTGTGACCCATGGGGGACCCGTGCTGGAGCTCATTCCTGAAAGCCTGCACTCCACAGAAAGAACCCATGCTGAAACAATTTGGGAAGAACTGCAGCCCGTGGGAAGGACTCATGTTGCAGAAGTTCATGGAGGACCCTCTCCCATGGGAAGGACCCCACCCTGGAGCAGGGGAAGGACTCCTCTCCCTGAGAAGGAAGCAGCAGCAGAAACAATGTGATGAACTGACTGTAACTTCCATTTCCCATCCCTATGTGCCACTGCAGGGAAGGAGGTGGAGAATTGAGAATAAATTTAATACCAGGAAGGAGGGAGTGTTGGGGGAAGGTGTTTTCAATATTTGCTTTACTTCTCATTATCCTACTTTGATTCTGATTGGTAATACATTCAACTGATTTCCCAAAATCAAGTCTGTTTTGCTTATGACAGTAAGGGATGACTGATTTCTCGCTGTCCTTAACTCAAGACCCTTTCATTAAATTTTCTCTTCC